TTGGGGGAGTTTCTCGGTTTTTCTTGTGGTCGTGGTTTCCGCCCTCAAAAACGAGGCGTAATCAGGCTGTCTGTGGCTGGGCTGTGATAGTGATAATTGCGATAATGAGCCCAGCGTTGAAACATGCTTTAGTAATTACAGCCTTTTAAGTATAATAACCAGAAAGGCACTGAAAAAAGTCTGCTAAAAGGATTTTCTTTTTTTTTTTCGAATTTATCTTCATAGATTTTCCTGCGAAGGGTGGAGGGTGGGAGGCTGGTTCACGAACAAGACTTTCAACCAAAGCTTAATGCGTACAATTTTTCACCCAATTGGGCCATTAGTGGTCTAGACCACCGGTTTGCAGTCCACAGGCGTGAGCAGAGCTGCTGCACGTCACAGCGTCCAGGAGGGGCTCGGGGGGGGGGTCCCTGCTTGGTCCCCGAAAACTGACTGTGTGCTTTGGTTCAGTTACAGTCAGCTTCACTTTCTGGTCGTTCGTGCTACGTAATGAGAGCAGCCATGTCTGTAGGGTCATCTTTATTTTAAAAGAAGCTCATTGAACAAGTACATTTTTATTTTTAATAGGAATTTTTGTTTTACAGCTCTTAGCTTACCTCAGAGCTTCTTCCAGTGAAGTTTACGTACTGGTGCAAAAGCCAGTGGATATTGTCCCTTGTGAGCGAATGTCGATACGCACCTTCTAGCTCCTGGGATTTCCTGGCTTCCAAGCACTGGATTTCTCAGCTCAAACATCCCATTAAACCTGGGAGTTGGCATGAGAATATTAGTGACCATTTTTCATAGAAAGCCATCTGTCAGCTCATTTCTCACTGGCCAGCTGGTCCCCTTTAGGGGCATGAGCTGCTCGTCTTCCTTCGCGAGTTTTCCGGGCAGTCGCAACTATTGCGCTTTGACCATATCCTAAAGCACTCTCTAAGACAATATAGTTGATCTTTATCGTGTTTAACAGTAAATGTGTTTCTTCCATTGGTGAAATTAATCTACATCCTACTTCCAGAGACGCATAACACATTGTACACATGTTGGGAGGAGCTGCAGCAGAAACATGTTTGAAGTAGGAAGCGCTGCAGCACAGGTTTTAGCACTCTGGATTCAATTAGCCGTTTCCAGCGTGATAATCACCTTTCTATTTATATCACTGACCAATTCCCTGCTTCATGAGCACGTTCAGTGCCACGGCAGCAGTGGGAAAGGCTAAGCAGAGCATTTCAGGATGCCAGCATTTCTGTCCCAGCTGGTGTGTCACCTGAGGCCGGCTGTAGCCAGCAAGAAACGGGCTGTCCTGTTGTGCCTGACCGCTCAAATATTGCGTCAGATCTAATGACCCAGCCTGTTCTGTTCCGCTGCTGCCAACAGATCTGCTGGGCATCTGTGGCTGCGGCGGTGCTGGGGATCTCTGCATCTCCACCGCTTGCAGCGAAGAGGGAAATACACGCGTTGGGTTCTTCCTCCAGCAGCTCCCCTTGCCTCTGGGTGCAGGAAGGGCAGCACAGAACGAGCCTCGGACAGCTCAGCCGCCGTTCTAATGCAAAACTGAGAAGAGTCAGCTTCCGCGAGTAGTTCAGAGTAGCACGTACATGATTCTGCAGGTAATTTGCAGGTCAAGTACAAGACTGCATTTAGGTGCTGGGAGTGCACACCGTGCTGTATTTCCTGCTAACAGAACAGAGAGCATCCCGTTTTCATCAGTTCGTCTTGGATCGGGACCTTATTTTTTCTGTGGGTCTGGAAGAATCTTTGAATAAACGAGCGGTGGGAGTTAGATCCGAAGCCCTAAGTGGATGTTCAGTGTCTGAAACAAGCCTTTCGGGTCCGTAAACTGCATTGTTGTTCCTCGGGTTAATGTAAATCCAAACCCACAGTTTCCAGGCTCCAGGGATCATCACGTCACAGCACAGCTATTCAAACGAAACATAGAAGCAGTCGCAGACCACGTCCAGTGAGAATCACAGAATCACAGAATGGTAGGGGTTGGAAGGGACCTCTGTGGGTCATCTAGTCCAACCCCCCTGCTGAAACAGGGTCACCTACAGCAGGCTGCACAGGACCTTGTCCAGGCGGGTCTTGAATATCTCCAGAGAAGGAGACTCCACAACCTCCCTGGGCAGCCTGTTCCAGTGCTCCATCACCCTCAGAGGGAAGAAGTTCTTCCTCATGTTCAGACGGAACTTCCTGTGCCTCAGTTTGTGCCCATTACCCCTTGTCCTGTCGCTGGGCACCACTG